GAACCGGCACACGGATCGATGGAAACGGCTCTTTATTCACATTTCTCACTCGGGGCGGGGACGGTGGCCGCGCAGCAACTGTAAGATGACAGGGCAGCGCCTGCCGCCAGGAACCAGCAGACAGGAGGCGAGCCCCCATGCGCAATGCTGAGGCTGTGGGGTTGGCCTCCGCAGGCCAAGGCTGAGTTCGCTGGGGAGAGGGGCAGGCAAGCAACAGAAGGCTCCGAGGCAAGGGCGTGAGGGAAGGGAGCTGGGGGCCTGGGGCTGGAACCAGAGCCAGAGGGAGCACACGCTCCCCCCGCCCACTGTGGGGGCCAGGTCCACGGCAGCGGCCTTTGCCCCGCGCGGCTGTGTTCAGGGCCCAGCAGAGCAGCGTGGCGCGTGGAGACAACCCCTGGATCTGACCCCTCGTGGGAAGGACGCAGGGCCCTCCAGCCCAGCCACGTGGAGCAGGACACAGCAGGGAGGACCTGCAGAGGGTGGGGACCCAGCCCCTTGAGAGCCTGGGCGCCCCTTGGCTCCTGCCCGCGCCCAGCACTGAGCGAGCTCTGGAGTCGGGGCGGGGTTCCCAGGCGCCTCCTCTGCGCGGCTCCAGAACAAGGCCACACGGTGGCTCCCAGCTCAGCACCCGACCCGGGCCTCCGACGCGGGCTCAGGCCTGCGAGCTGGGCTGGCCAGCCGGCCTCTTCGCGGGGCCTTTCCTTTTCTCCAGGTCCTGCCGGATCTCCTGGGGGAAGGCCTGGAGGTTCTTCTGGACACAAGGGAGGCAGAACCTCTTGGAGTAGAACAGACTGCATTCCTGGAGGAGGAGGGCAGGCTGAGGACGGGCACAGGCGCAGGCGGGCAGGGGCTGGGCGGGCCCCAGGACGCACGGGCAGCTGAGAGGAGGTGGGGAGGGTGCAGCGGAGCCAGAAGAGCAAGAGGGAGACCGTGGCCCAGGGGCCTGGCCAGCCGCCTGAGAGAAAAAGAAATGGGGCGGGGGTGCGCGCCAGGGGCAGCCCTGCAGGCACGGGTGTCGGGGGCTTTCAACACATGGCGAGGCCTCCTCGCAGGGGTCTTTGTGCCTCTGAGGGACTGGGAGGTGACCAGCCCCAGGCAGGACGCTCAGGGCCCCCTCGGGCAGGATCACTCGGACTACAGGGCCACACTCAGCTGCACCACCCCACCACGCTGCCGTGGGTTCTCAAACACTAGGCTCAGCCGTGCTGGGCACTGGGCCCGCAGCCTCTGGGACCTCGGCTTCCTCACCTGTCAAATGGGTGCAGTCCTGCTTCGCCTGACTGGGTTTGGGGGGAGGGGGCTGAAGGAAGCCCCAGGGTTAAGGCAGCTCCAAGCACAGGGCCTGGCGCACAAATGCTCGGGAGAGCACGGAACCTTGCTCTGCGGGTCCCCAAGGACAGCCAGAGAGAAGGTCAGCACCCGTGGGGAGGGGCCTGTGAGGGGCCACTGGGGTGGTGCAGAACCTCCCAGAATCTACTTGGACCCCTCGGACCCCACAGAGACCCTGGCTGACCCAGGGTGCCCTCTGCGCGTCTTCTGCCCTACGATGGCGGAGGGACCACCCAAAATGAGGTAGACCAGCTGGCCTCTAAGAACCCCCCGGGCCACCTGGTGGAGAGGAAAGCTGGTGCTCACACCGCCCTTGGGAAAGGCTCACGTGCTACCTCTCCCACAGTCACGCGTGTGGGGTCCCAGCCCGGGAGCGGGGGACGGGGGGCGTGAGGGTGGAAGCGAGGCAGTCGTGTGGCTTACCCACCGGGCCCACACACACCAGCCGGCCGCAGACACTGCACCTGGAGCCCAGGATGAGGAACCTGTCCTTGTCCGGGGTGAAGGGGTCCTTCATGACATAGCTCTCCTCTAGGAGGCTGTGGGACAGGAAGTGATGCCGCTGGAACCGCTGCTGCTGGGAGCTCAGTGGGGGTGGGGCTGGCCCTGTTCTGGGCTCTGAAACCACCGCAGCGGGGGCCACCACTCCTTCTCAGCCCACAGAGGGGCCCTGACCTGACTCACAGGATGGGGCCGGGCCCCGAGGCCTCCATCCACGCCCTCTAAGCCCTCCCCTCACCGAAGCATGTGATGCCCATTCCCAAACTGCCTGCTTCCCTGCGGGAAAACAGGTGCGTCGCACCTGTGTAGGTGCTGGC